GGTGGGGGGTGGGGGGGGTGGGAAGGGAAGGTAGAAAGAGGAATACAAATATATTTGTATTAATGCATCTTAATTTGAATCCACAGTATTTTTTTCTTTTTAAAATTGTGGTAAAAACACTTAAAATTTACCATTTTAACCACCTTTACATGTACAGTACATGTAAAAGTCAACTACATGCGCATTGTTGTATACCAGATCTTTAGAACTTTTTCATCTTGCAAAACTGAAACTCTATGCCTACTGCACAACTCCGCATTTCCCCTTTCCCCAGCACCTGACCACTACCATTCTATTTTCTGCTTCCATGAGCCTGACTACGTTAGATACCTCCTATAAGCAGAATCAAGCAGTATTCGTCTTTTTGTGACTGACTTAAGCAAAACATCTTCAAAGTTCATTCATATTGTAGCACATGGCAGGATTTCTTTCCTTTTTTAAGGCTGAATAATATTCCGCTGCATGTGTATACCATATTTTCTTTATCCATCATCTGTAAATAACATAAAAGTTGCTTGATGCCACAGGATTCTTATGATAACTTATCAAAATCACCTCAAACAGTTCCTCACCACAGAAAGTTATATGACATTTTCTTTCTTTTTTTTTTTTTTAAAGATGAGCGGTAAGGGGATCTTAACCCTTGATTTGGTGTTGTCAGCACCACACTCTCCCAAGTGAGCCACGGTCCAGCCCTATATGACATTTTCAAATGTAGTACTTGTCAGACAGGCTGCATTGACTTCTGAGAAGATGGCTCTCCTAAGCAAGGGAGACTCAAGCCCCAGAAGTGTGAGTGGGACAAACACTACAATGCTATGGCTGTTTTCATGTGATAAGAGGGGTAACTGAGCTGAGCTAGACCAAAAGAAAGAGATGATTCTCTCTACTAAAATTCTGCAAAAAGTGTTGTCAGAATATAAGGCATAAGGCATGTAGTGGATTGAATTATGTCCCCACCAAACTACCTGAAACTTGAATTTTGTCTCTGAAGTTTTATGTATTAGAAACTTAGCCCCCCCACTGTGACTGTTAAGAGGGTGGGAAATCCTATTACGGCAATTGAAAGGTGGGGCCTTAAAGAGATGATTGGATTGTAGGACCATGCAGTAGTGAATGGATTAAAAATGGTGGTCAGGGGTGTGGTTCTGAGGGGCTTTAAAAGAGGAGAGACTGTCTCTCTTGCTCTCTCTGCTCTCTCCGCTTCCACCGTCTTGAAATGTAAGACCCCTGGGTCACTGTTGCCATCACCAAATGGACTTTGGACTTCTCAGCCTCAGAAACTGTAAGCAATACATTTCATTTTTCTTGATAAATCACCCAGTCTCAGGTATTCTGTTATAGCAACACAAAACGGACTAATACAAGGCATATATGAAACATTTCGCAATCTAGAAGAGTATTAGCTGTAAACTGAATGGTATATTTCTACTTTTGATGGGCACTAAGATAACATGAGTTATTAGTAATTTACTGTTTCACTAAACTTTTAAGTTTACTTATATATACAAATGATAACCAAGAAAGTCATTAATATCTCTGAAATTAAAGGTAGTATGTCATGAAATGAGATCATAAATTCATTACAAATGAGTTAAGTTCATTAAAAAAGAGTAATTATAAATTACCCTTATGTGACATCTACCTTATTTCTCAATTTTTTCAAAGCCTCTTTTTTCTTTTTTTTTTAAAAGAAGACTGGTAAGAAGATCTTCACCCTTGACTTGGTGTTGTCAGCACCACGCTCTCCCAAGTGAGCCACGGCCTGCCCTTCAAAGCCTCTTAAGAATCAGCATTATAAGCTTTTAAAAAACACTGTTGGTAGACATCTGTGTTCATGGGTTGGAAGACTCAACATTGCTAGAGTGTCCATACTATCCAAAGCGATTTAGAAGTGGAAATGGTGCTGAAGAGAAGTGGAGATCCACCAGGGGCAGTGGCATCTGATGCTCTCTTGTTTCTCCTTGATGTTGAGCTGCTGCCATGCCCATGCAGGGGCACTTCTCCATCTGCAGTACCTGGGCCAAGGCGATGTAGTGTTCAGGGACTCAGTGAAGGTCATAATAGTCAATCACAACATACACAGGGAGCTGGGTAAGGGCATCAGAAAACTGTGTTTTTCAACATAAGTACCTCAGTCAGATTCAATACCAAAACCCCTGGGTGCAGATCATGATACTTAAGAACATCATCACCCTTCCTATGGAGAGCAGGTCCTGGTGGAAGTAGAGACCAAAAGCAATAAGGAGATTATATAGCACATAAAAAAAAAAATCGAGAGGAAGAATGAGGAAACCATCAATAAAGAGGAGCAGGGAGAGAAGAAAATGGAAGTTGCTAATCAGCGAGTGCTATGGGTTGAATGTGTCTCCCAAAGGTTCATGTATTAAAAACTTAATCCCCACTGTGACAGTATTAAGAGGGTGTGAAATTCTATTATGGCAATTGAAAGGTGGGGCCTTGAAGAGATGATTAGATTGTGAGGACCTTGCCCTTGTGAATGGATTGATCCATTCATGGAGTAATGGGCATGGTTCTGATGGCTTTAAAAGGGGAACAAATAAGGAGGTTAGTTCTTTCTTGCCCAGCCATTTCTCCTTGTGACACCCTGCCTCACTGTAGAGCCACCACCAAGAAGGCCCTCACCAGATGCGCCCCCTGGACTGGGGACTTCCCAGCTTCTGAACTGTAAGAAATAAATTTTGTGTCTTTATAAACTACCCAGTTTCAGGTACTCTTATAAGCAACAGAAAATGGACTAATACAACAGGCATAAAGTCTCAATTATGCAAGATGAATATGTTCTAGAGGTCTATCTAATGTTGTATAGGTACAAGACTGTCCTGATAATTAACAATACTGTATTGTACATATAAAAATTGGTTAAGAAGGTATATCTCATGCTAAGTGTTCTTACCATGGTAAAATAAAATAACCAAAACACTGTTGAGGAAGAAACAAATGTTAAAGTCTACACAAGAGATTGTAATTCTGTTTTTTTATCGTTTGTTTGTTTTGGGTTTTTTTGTGACCGGTAAGGGGATCGGAACCCTTGGTTTGGTGTCGCCCGCACCGCGCTCAGCCAGTGAGCGCACCGGCCATCCCTATATAAGATCCGAACCTGCGGCCTCAGCGCTCTCAGCGCCGCACTCTCCGGAGTGAGCCACAGGTTCGGCCCGTAATTCTGTTTTTAATTAAAAGTTTGATACCTCATTAGCTCCATGTACCACCACGTAAGAAGTCTGGAAAACTATTTGCCAAGAAAATAACAGTGCTATTATACAAATGATAAAATTGCAAAAATAAAAGGTAGCTTTCCAGCCACTTTCCTCAAAATATAGTTTCAGATTTACAAATTAAGCATTGATGATCTTAGCATATGTACAATGTACTACCTGGCACACATCTTCAGTACAGAGGTTCTTTATGTGCTGTGGTCCCTTTTGGCAGTCTGAGGAAGACTCCTTTTAGAATGTTTTTTTAAAAACGCATAAAATACAATACATGGGATTACAAAGGAAACCAATTATAATGAATTATGGTTATCAAAATATTTTAAGTGTGGTAGAATAATAAGACTTATTAAGTCATTAGGTAACAAGGTACAGTGATATTGCCTAATAACTTATAATTTCAAAACAGAGATAAGCATAAACAACGTTTTGAGATATTTGCAGCGACTTATGTGATATGAAAATATCTGTGATTTCTGTTGGTGAAAAAAATCATAGGTAACACTATTACTGTGATCTGTCACCTGTATTATACAATGGTAGGAAATAATATTTCTGTTAGAGGTTAGTGAAAATAAAAATATAAAAATTTTCCCATTTGACTTCACAGATCCCCTGAAGCCTGAACTCCAGGGTAAGTACTCTTGCTATCCTACACAAACCAAAACATCAAGTTGAATAGTTTTGCTTACTTGAATCAAAATTTAGATTGAACTGTGCAGTCACATTTCCTTAATTAAATTAAGAGCAAAATCCACTACAGCAATTCTTACCTGAATTATTTCTGGAGCTACCTGCAAAGAGGGCAGGTATTCTTGTTGAAGATACTGAACACATTCTGGGCCCTGAAGATTAAAAGATCATTATAACTTCATTATTTTCTTTCTTGACATTAGTAGTGTATAAAAAGAAACTAGAACAACACGAGTACTTTAAAGACTATATAGTATTGTAATTAAGAATACAGACTCTAGAGCCAGGCCGCTGCCAGATTTGAAGCTCTGGTAACTTGGGCAAGTTATTTAACCTCTCTGAGCCTCAGTTCCTCCATCTGAAATACGAGGTTATTATGAGGATTCAATGAGTTAAGAAAGATAAAGCTCTTAGAGTAGCACTTAGCATTCACTATATGTTAACATTACTTAGTGTTAAGTATTGCTAAAGATGACTTAAACAAATATTCTTATAAATCCAGGAGATCACAATGCCAGAGGCTTCCATGGACTTAAAGGGGAAAACAAAGAAAGGTGCTCCTGTTCAGTCTATCACTGAGCGGATTATAGGGTGTCTGTGAATGCAAGGGGGGAAGCCTTCAGCCGGTGCCAGGGCAACCATTATCTTTAGAAACTAAAATACAAGCAAGACACAAAACATGTTCTTGAACATATACAAGAACACATATAAGATAATAGCAACAAAAGCACATCCTCTTTTTCCTGTAAAACAAACTAGGGAACAGGAATTTAGTAGCCAGATGGAACAGATGAGGAAACCAAGAACCAGAAGGCAAGTTGCCCAGTCTGCTGCTGATGAAACCTTTACTAAAAAGCAGGTGGCTTGACTTCTAAAGCCATAGCTCTTCAATAGAGGCCATCTTCTAGTATTTCCAGATGCTAAAACCCATAATAATAGTTTTTCTGGCTTTTTTTTTGGTGAGCTTAGTGGAAGGAAGGGAGAATTCCACAAACTAAACTCTGAACACCAACCATTCCCAGCAGCTACAACAGCTACAAAGGAATGTAGGATAAAATGTGAAAATGGTTTCCCTACACCAATGTGTTTCTTCCGAGAGTGTGGCCTCAAGCAAATGTAGCAAAATCCAATACTTCAAAAAAAAAAAAAAAAAGTTATTTCACTTTCACACTTGATTCTAACTTAAAGGCTTTATTATGCTGATGATCTCAATCTGGTCCAACTAAAATAAAAGTAAGAGTTATCAAAACAAAATCAATCCATCTCTCTTCAGTGCACTCTTCCCTGCAATAACACCTGGATCTCCTGTTTAATATTCCTACTTCTGAATGAAAGGAAGTTCATTCATGTTTCCTCTCTACCTTGACTCTTGGCCCCTCTAATCTAATGAATCTAGGTCACTTTAAAGGAAAACTGTTCTTAATTAAGAAGAGGTAACACTGGATCTGAAAGTTTTCCAGATTCCTTCTACTTTCCTGCTCACCTTTTTCTTTAGTTTACCCTCTTAAAGCTTACTTCCTATGCATTGTCTATCATCTCATATAACACCACTGTTACCACTTAGAGTTTTTTTTTTTTTTTAATCCAGAAAGGTAAACTTGTACCTCAAGAAAGTCAAAAGAATGAGAAAATAGAACAAAAAGCAAAAATTTTTCAAATATAATACCATTTGACTCAATTCCTGTGTGTTTAAATTAGGTTTCTAAGGGCCAGCCCATGGCTCACTTGGGAGAATGTGGTGCTGATAACACCAAGGCCACAGGTTCGGCTTCCTATATAGGGATGGCCGGTTAGCTCATTTGGGAGAGCGTGGTGCTGACAACACCAAGTCAAGGGTTAGGATCCCCTTACTGGTCATCTTTTAGAAAAAAATAAAAAATAAATAAATAAATTAGGTTTCTATGGCCAACACAAACACTTCTGAACTATAAATACCATTCTTTTTTTTTTTTTTACTGACCAGTAACGGGATCGCAACCCTCGGTGTCGCGCCTGCACCGTGCTCAGCCAGTGAGCGGGAACCGGGATCTGAACCCTTGACTCTCCAGTGCGCCACCGGGCCGGCCCTATAAATACCATTCTTTCTGGGTTTTTTTCATTCTTCATCCTCCTTGACTCTAGCATTCAACAATGCCACTCAGTCTCTTCTCTTGAGACTCTCTTCCTTTAGCTTTCATAATATTCTAACCTTTGGTACTATTTCTAGCTTTCTCTTCACTTTTGCTTCAGCCAAGGTTCTTTTTGTCTTGGTCTTAGAAAGTCTCATTAATTCCTACCACTTCACTTTGAATGACTATATGCTGTGGACTCCCAAATCAGTATTTAATTCTAACTGCCTCAGACTCTTATTCCAATCTACTCTCTGAGCACTTTTCCCCACCTAGCTATCCTAAATTACAACTCTGCTGCCTACTGACTTCCCAACTTTTCACACATAATGCAAGGCTTTCAACAACCTTATCCCATCTTACTTTTTTAGATTACTTCTGTCTCCGTACTTTAGCTAAACAGGATAATACTATTATTTCTCACCAAACCTACTGTGTAACACCTGATCTGTCTTCATACACCCACTTAGCTCTTCCCAGAATGCCAGCTCCCTCTCTTGTCAGTCTAATCAATCTACATTCGTCTCAGGGCCTATCAAAAAAAAAAAAAAAAATCACTTCTTGCCTATGGCCTGCGTAAGACTGCCCCCACTTAGGCAAAATTGCTTATTTGGCTTTAATTCCACAATATTTTATACATCTTTCTTAATGTACTTAACCCAATTGAGAGTTATTTATGCATCAGTCTCCCTTGATTAGGAACTCCATAAATATTGGACTTTTTATTCATCTTTATTTGAAAACACACCCCCCTCACCCTAGCACATAACAGGAGTTGAGAAAATGCTGCTGAATCAAAAACACTTCAAATCTCTACCAGAATCAAAAACTCAAGTTCAGGGCCGAGCTTGTGGCGCACTCGGGAGAGTTCAGTGCTGGGAGCGCAGAGACGCTCCCGCCGCGGGTTCAGATCCTATATAGGAATGGCCCGTGCACTCACAGCACTCACTGGCTGAGCGCGGTGCGGCCAGTCTCAAAAAGGACAAAACAAAAAAAAAACCCCCCAAAAAACTCAAGTTCAAATGAGTGAGTGGGCTGAATGGAGACTGGCAAACAAGAGCTCATGTTCTTTTTAGGGCATGAGGGGAACTGCTGCTCTTTAGTTGACTGAAGCTATGTGGAAATGCCAGTCCTATGTTGGCATTCTGCCGTTGAGAGAAATCGGATAGGAATTTTTGTTTAAAATAGAAAAGTATCTAATTTTTAAATGCTGGCAAGCAATTCAAGTTACTTAAAAATATGCAGAATCATGTATGATTTGTACAAATGATTAGATTGACAAGGAAGAAGAGGACGTTCTAAAGTAGTGAAGTGCTCTATTTGTAATACTAAGAAGTTGAAGAAATCTGGCTGTGAGGAAGCCTATTAGAGGGTGAAATCTGTATCCTGAAATTCTGGTTGATTTTTCAAATCCAAGAAAACTTACGATTTGTAATAATGAATATGCTAATTTTTAAAGATGCTACAAAAAAAAACCTAAAAAAAAAAAGATTTTTCAAATCCTTTGTCGAACCAAAACAAACATACATTTTAACCTTCTTGTTACCAAAAACATGAATGACAGTAACAGATACTGCTAACCTCATTCAATCCCTCCCTCATATCTGAAAAAGAACTGAAGTTAATGACCTTTTATAAAAGATATAGCTTTCAAGAACAAGATGAGTCAAACACAATTAAAACCATAACAAATATTAACACATGAGATGAAAATAAAGAGGAGTACAAAGCTTACCCGTTTGAGATGAATTGTTTTCAGTGTCACTGCACATTCAGATAAAGCCTGTGAAAAACAAGTTTAAGAATTTTAATATGGTCACTTCTTGGTTGCTGATCCAACTTTTCATTTACCTGGCCACTGTCCAGGGAAATATTTACCTTTGAGGAAAGGTAACAGGCAGGTGGAATAAGTGGGTTGGATAGAAAAAAGAAGAAAACAGAAAAATACAAAATGCTGTCTTACTGTAGTAAATTACAAGTATGAAATCTAGCTTTTACTAGGTTGTAGGAAAGTGAGAAAAGGGAACTGTTTGACATGAAGTATTCTGAAGATAAGATTTGGGGAACTATCATATATGTGGGGGAAAAGTTACCATGTAATGCTCTTAATGATTAGAGAAAACCACTAAGAATAAGTTCTAAAATTAGAGTAGTAGGAGGAAACTAACAACTCAATTTAAAAAAAATATTTGTATCATGTACCCTTTCATGGTCCTAGAAAAAGAATCTTGGTTGTTAAAGCTGAAGGAGCTGAATTTTATATATTCAACTTTAGCACTGGAATACAATAAGAATCCACAAAAGGTCCAGAAGGTATCATCAACCTTTTAAAAAAATAAGTCCTAATTTGAATCATTAAATTAGAAAAACAAAAACCAAAAATAATAAAACATAATACAATCAACCTAGCACTAAAGAAGAAATTGTCAGTATCTACACAAGGCATACGAAGAATCCTAGGTGCTTACCAATACTGTTTGTGCATCTGCCAGGTCAAAGGTTTGTTTTAAAGGTGCTAGGAAACATGCAGGAACAATGTGCTTATAAACAAAATCAGCAAATCCCACTGGTCCATCTTTACCTCCTGTCAAGAGAATTCAAATTTTCATCTTGTATAAAAAAGAAAGTCAACTAATTCATCACTGGGAAAATCAACTCCCAGTTCCTGTCTGTTAGGACCAGGGTTCCATCTCATCTAGAAGAGTCTTATGAAACAGGTTGGGGAATAAAGGCTAAAAAGAAATGATCTTACCCCAGAGTTCTACCAACTTTGAGAGGATGATAAAACATGTTTTCTGTGCAATTGGATCTGGATATTCAACTGCTCCTTGGATAACAGTAACCAGCACTCGTTCTACATTCTCTGCACCTGAAGAGAAAAACTTGAGTTTAATTTAAAAAAGAACTAGAAAGGCAACCTGAAGCTCTTATTTCATATACAGTAACAAGTCAAAAAGTATTACAGAGTTGGTAAGACCCCTTGATTTTTATTAACTGGTCACCTAAATTTTAAGCATTAAACATTGAAAAACCAGTATTTCCTAGATATTTTGCTCTCTGGATTTCCTATGCAGCAGTATTCTCTATTATGAGCTATAAATTCCCACTTACTTTTAATTTCAAACTGGCAAATTGGCCGGTAAGACTCAATTGTCAGGTGAAGTCTGATAAGTGGTTAACATGCTATTTATATTCCTAGAAACCAATTAAAGAATACTGCCTTGGGAAATAAAGAACTGAATACAAATAAATTTTGAGGTGCTCTGAGAGTGATTGATTCCCAGCCTGAAAATAATGAACTGTCATCCTAGGGGCCAACATACAACTACTTCACAAGTTTCATGATTATTTCAACCTGCTCTTGGCTCATATAGATGTACAACTGTGACAAGGACTTAGGCAGACAAATCAGGCATGGCATGCATCCCACCTTGATTTGCTATAACTTCGCTCATTCCACTGCCTGTGACTGTTTGCAGGAAAGCAAAGTAACTCCTCCGCAACATTTGCTTCTCTAAAGCAGCAGATTGGTCGTTTTCTTCTGCTGGTCTGAGCAACACTTCAAAAATTGCATGAAGCAGGGGCATAAACATCTGTTGTAAAAATGGGGATACCTGTATCTGAAGATAAGAAACAACTATTACTACTCCAGAAATGAGTAAGAAAATGAATATGAAACTTAGAAAAATAATTTTTATGTAAGGTCTTTCTCCAGAGTTTCTATTTAGAATATATATTTACCTAATTCAGTTAGCAAGTATCAATGTAAGAAAAAATCTATATAACATACACATCACTGAAAGCCTCAAGATCATTAAGTTTAACCCTTACAGCCTAAGATTCAGGTTAAAATAACATGCGGTCCAGTATATTTAACAATCAAATATTGCCATGGATTATTTTCAAATTTAAATTCTCAAAAAATATATTCTATTGTTAAATTATCAATTAATTTATATGATTGAACTCTTGGGTTTTATACACCCGTAAATTTCTTAACTTCTCTGTGCCTCAGTTTTCTCATTTATAAGATATAAATACCTACTTATTATAAGGATCAAATGAGTTAATGTACAAAAACTGTTTAGAACTGATTCTGAACACAGAAAGCACTATGTAAATGTTAAGCCATTTTTATTAGCCAGCTTATACTAGGCTTAAATTTCCTTGTACACAAAACTAACTTTAGCACACTGAATTATTTTCAAACTCCTGCTTGAGCACCCAAATTATAGTGCCTTGTATTTACCTCTTTAGACATTTAGTACTCAATATGGTTTTTATTTGCTTTTCTAAAACAGAAGACTAGTCGTTTTCTTCTGCTACACAGAGCAGATAATGTCTGTTTTTATTAAAACATCTATTAAGCATGACCTTTGTGTCAGACAGTGTGCGAGATATTATTTTTATTTGCTTTTCTAAAACAGAAGACTAGTCGTTTTCTTCTGCTACACAGAGCAGATAAGGTCTGTTTTTATTAAAACATCTATTAAGCATGACCTTTGTGTCAGACAGTGTGCGAGATATTAGGGATGGTAAAAATACATGACCCATGTCTGAAGTAACTCATTTTTTAAAAAATTAAGGACAAATATCAAAACATGCCTAGAGATAAATACATCTTATCTTTTAAGTCAGAAGAGCCTCAGAGCTCTGAAGATTTGTGGTACCTTAAATTTGGCTGTAATCTGATTGATAAGAGGAATGAACTCCTGGAGATCTTTTGCTTCACAATCTTTGAGCATGTGTTCTGAGGCAGATGGAATGAACGGAAGAACTTCTTCCTCTAAGCAAATAATCATTCGATGAAGGAAAGTGCGAACTCCACTTCTGAGAATATCCTTTTGTAAGGGACAACTGAGGGCTGGCAAGAATGTCTGTAAACAGTCCAGATAAACTTCGGAACAGCCACACTGTTTCACAGTTTGCTTGTTGCTGAAAGCTTTGCTGGTTCGACTGTATAAAGCAAAAATCAGGCAACTACATTCAACTTTATCCTTTAGAAGTGTTATGGAGTAATCAGAAACAATGCACAACAAATTATAAAGTTGACAGAACTAAGTCACAATTACTTCCACCTTTAGCTAACTTGGTTATTGGTAAACTATTGCTTCCAGTTACCTTTCTAGAACAAATGTACTCAGATTAAATGAATGAGCTATAGTTAATATAATACTTGCAATATGAGTCCATCTAAATGTCTTACTAAAATTCTACTGATAAAGTATGCAGAAAAAGAAAAAATCCACTTATTATGATTAGGCTGTACTAGACAACCTGCAAACTACCCATTTAAACTTAGAAAACAATCTTCAGAATCAAGTTATTTATACCACCTCTCTAATATATAGCTCTTGCCCTGAAGTAGCCTGCAGAACAACTTCTCTATCTAACTAATTAGCAATCACCATGAATTTCATTGCTGTTATTGTTTGCCAATAAAAAGTATAAGTAGTGAGGAAAAAATGGCTGTTTGGGTGGTCTTCAAGACACAAATGCAACCATTAAAGAGAAGCCTCAGGACCTTCCCTTTAAGGTACCAAGACCAATTTAGGATGTCCTAACACACAAATGGTATATAATCACTTTAGCTAATTCCCTTAAACACATAATCAGTTTATACCAAAGAAATCAAAGGAGCTGAAGATTCAGACAGTTGTCAGAGCAAAATTGCAGAATGGTATGTGCTCTATTCTTTTCCTCAGCTAAATCTTCCAATTCACTCGGTTTAGTAAAGAAAGGTTTAGACAATTCTCTCGACAATCCAGCTTTGGAAACACACGTGTGCCCAATCTTAAACGGTCTAAATAAGTGGTTCTGTCTGTGTACAGGCAAACACTTTACAATGTTAACTGCAATTATGCTCACCTGGCAAATCCAACAGCATGGTTGAGACAGTCTGCTAGAGAAGCCTGCCTTTCTTCATCTGGTGCCAGCATCAATTTTTCTAACAGAATTTTAAACTTCTCCATTAGTGGAGTCAACAGATTCCTCATTAAAGCTTGCTTCCTTTCTGCTGGGTATTCGCTATTAACAATCAGCACTCCAGCTGTCTCATAAATAAATAATTGATCATCGCTGCTCAACAAGGACTGGTAACCATTCTCCTAGAATGAAATTCAGTCTTATCGAAGTTTCTCTTTTTTGAGTTAATCTCATTTAATCAGAATAAGTGTAAGATGGACAGGAGATGTAATCTATCACATCAACTCATTGTTAAAAAGCAGATATAAAACAAACCTTCTTTTATATCTTTTAATCTTATAAAAACAAATCTTCTGGGGCCAGCCCGTGGCTCACTCGGGAAAGTACAGTGCTGATAACACCAAGACCACAGGTTTGGATCCCTATATAGGGATGGCCGGTTAGCTCGCTTGGGAGAGTATGGTTCTGACAACACCAAGTCAAGGGTTAAGATCCCCTTAACAGTCATCCTTTTAAAAAAAAACCAAACAAAACCAAATCTTCTCCAAGGACCATATAATGGAAAGAAAACCAAATTAGAGGTCAACTGATCATGGTTCCAATTATAGCCTTGACAAGAATTTGCAAATGTTCACATAATTATTAGACTTCTGTTTTCCTTTTGTAAAAATCTTGTTTGTAAGATTGTTATAAGGCATACAAATTTAACAATTGTTTTTTTTTTAAGATTGTTATGAGTGTTCATTTGTACGAGGTATGCAAAAGTGCTTTGACTGTTAGTATAAAGGCCACACAAATTAATATTTTGAAGTGTTTAATAACCCAAACTGCACAATATATGTATATACACACACATACAACACTTGTTACTATAGAACATTACAAAAATAAGACTGAAAATGGAAAAAATAGGTCTCATGCAAGCACAAGCAAACATTCTATACACTGGTCAACTTTTATTACCAGGTTTTGTTTTGTTTTGTTTTTTACATGTATGCACTCAGAGAAGCTGGGGTGGGAAGGTGGAGAAGTCCAAGTCCTCCTTAGGTCCAACACTAAAATTCCCCATTAAGAAATTATATAAAAGCAGATAAATTATGTGGTGGTTTTTCTATGAAAGAATTCTCCATCCCTTGAGAGAAATGTCCCTATTTAAAAGTAACTAATGCATTTACTAAATATCTGCTGGGACTTATCACTGCTCTAGGAGTTGAGAACACAAAGATGAAGTGGCTGGGTAAATACAGGGTCCTCTCAAAATGGGTACTCATAGCCCTATTAAGTGGTCAATATTCAGAAGAGCAATTTGAATCAGGTGTTTTTATATACTGAGAAAGAACTGGAGGTATAGTACAAGTCCTTGTTTATATGTACTGCATGAAAAACATGAAAAATTTCCATTATCTGTAAGACAAAATGGCTTCTTGAATGCCTAAGTCTTATGGATCAGTGTGAACTGCCAAAAAAATTAGAATTAACTGGGTGAAGTTCTTTAATACAGTGGTTTCTGTCATATGCAAAGACAAATCAATGATATAATTCACCAGTAACCTTTCATGCAGTGAAATCACATAATCTTCGTAACCTAAATACTGACACTTACTTAAAAAAATCAAAACTATTTTATGCTTAACACTTTTCAAGTGGCACCTGTAGTAGTAACTTTTATTAAATGAGGGGCAGTATTTTGCTTTACACAAAAACACATGTAAGTCAAAATGTATTTACAAAGTACCTCAACAAATCTTTCTAGTGAAATGGACACCAAAATATTCAGATCAATCTGAAGTTACCGAGAAACACTTTGCTCTAACAGTAGTAGTTGCTGAGAATGGCTAATATGATTATACTACTAAATAGACAACAATTTAGAAGATAAATTTTTTCTTTTCTGTAAAATACTTCAACAACATTTGATGTACAGAGAGAGCAGACTATACCCCATGCTGCCAAATGTATCAGTCAACTCTTAATTTTACTACTAAATAGACAACAATTTAGAAGATAAATTTTTTCTTTTCTGTAAAATACTTCAACATTTGATGTACAGAGAGAGCAGACTATACCCCATGCTGCCAAATGTATCAGTCAACTCTTAATTCCTTTCCATTATTATGTTTTGTTTACTTTATCAACAGAATTTTGTTAAATAGTGCTAACCAACCCTTTAAAACACACACACACACACACACACACACACACACACACACACACACACACACACACACGTCCAACTACCAGTTTTAAAAAAATGCCCACAAGTGGCTAATGGTGTATGCTGCCTCAATATTTGGGGAAAATACCTCGGAAGGATAGATACTTACAGGTGGAGAAAACTCTAATAAATCTTGTATTCTATTCAGAATGTCCTCAATGAAAGGATTCATTTGTTTACTGAATAAAGGCAAAAATGACAATCACAATTAATAATAGTGCTTGGAAAATTGCTACAATACCAAATCCCCCTTTAAGACAGAAATAAGAAAAAGTTAGATTCTAGGGTAGTCACTTTTGATTATTACGACTTCACCTATGATTAATTTTTTTTAAATGACCTCTTGCAATCTCATAAATCTAATAACGAGTTTTCATACCAAAAAATGTACTCGTAAGAAATAATACAAAACAGATTAGGTTCAAAACGTATTTTCAAGAAATATATTCTTTAGAATTTCAGAGAAGCTATATAGGGATCCACAGCAATTAAACTGTTAAATAACCAATGAATGTCATTAGTGATGACAGGTCTTACATATTGAAAGTATGCAAACAAACCACTTATTAGTGTTGAACAAATTATCCAACAAGCAAGAAAATAAGTCGTAGCATAAAAAGAAACATGCCTTAGAACAGAAAAAAATCTACCACAAGCTCTTAGGAATAATTCATGTTTCTTTAACAGCGTTAAAAAAAGAGCTAAACATTATAACTGAAATTTTATACTTACTTGAGAGATTTGACAAATCTAGAAAACAGGTAAGTAGTTCTACTCCGTACTTTTGCACTAGAATGCCGCAGACCCCTGTGATCTAAGAAAGCCATCTAAAGAAACAGAGACACTTTTACTATTTCTGCACTTAATCAAGGCTTTCATTACACCTTTCATGCTACATTTTTGTTCACATCAAATTTACTTCTTAGCTCCTAGAAGGCAGGGACCACATACAAGTAATTCTATACTATGCGCAAATTGGCCCTTGAGGACTTGCTTTAGATGACTGATTAGACAGAAAGTGTCTATTTTTAAAAAAATGAAGGAGGGGGTTTAGTTTCAATGTTTCAAAAATTTTTGAGAGCTTTTGGCTCTGAGAAAAGTTAGAGGAAAGATAGAATATTATCTGTTCATTAGCTGAAATACATGGAAAATAAAAATCCAGAGTAAAATGTATACTTACTAGTACACATGGAATGTGTTGAGGTTCAACTGTGAAAAACTTTTCATATCTAACAACAGTTTCGAAGAATTCCAATGTTACAGATGTATGTTGATAGGAACTGACTCCTGAGGTTACCAGCTAGAGAAGGAAAAGTTAAGAAACCTACCCTTATTTATTGCAACATCAAAATGCCCCAGTGTTAACAGATACTAAACTGTAACAATTAAGAAACTATTCCCCTTAGCTTATAGTGAAAATAGAAAATTATGTTCAAAATAAAATATCTTCAGTATACTTACAGTTCGCATCATATCCTGCAAAGCACTAGCTTTTGAAACATCACCTGAGAAGTGAGCACCATGAGATACTGGAAGAGCTTCTGCCAACATATACAGCAATCTTATTGCTACTTCAACTTCCATAAACCGTGTAGTCTGCCAATTCCTACCAAGGTATAGTATGTCAATGAGATCTGAACATAAACTTTTTATACAACTAGTGATGCATGGGATAAAAAGACATCAACAAAAGCCTCTTTAATTATTAAAAAGTCATAGCAGTTGTTAATTTTGCCAGACAACATAATGTATATCAAAAAAGTAGAAAGAAGCAAGACAAATAAAAGAGACAAGTTCATTGTTTCCAGAGACACACACATGATCTTAATTAATAAGTAATCTTGGTAAGTAATGGATTAATAAGTCATATGAATCACTCATTCTAGACTATCATCAGGGAGCAAAGGAAAAGAGGGGGGCTTATTACAAAAACAGTAACAATAGGGCCAGCCCGTGGCTCACTTTGGAGAGTGTGGTGCTGACAACACCAAGGCCACGGGTTTGGATCCCTATATAGGGATGGCCGGTTCGCTCACTTGGGAGAGCATGGTGCTGACAACATGAAGTCAAGGGTTAAGATCCCCTTAACAGTCATCTCTTAAAAAAAAAAAACAAAAAACAAAAACAAAACCGGTAACAAACTTACTGCAGTGTAGAACTAAAAACTCTGCGAACAGAAGCCAGCAGTAACTCTGGTGAAACTTGAGCAAGCCTATCCAACAGTAACTTCAGTTGTTTTCTATATTCTACAAACATGGCTTCATCTTCACCCTATGATATAGTTTAAAATCCTCATCTTAAAAACTTAAAACTCATATAAATGTTCAGTTCTCCCCCAGTTTTCTCATTTTCAAATTTTACACTTTTATTTTTTTATATAGGAAAACTTACTATGCTTCATAGCTTTTCCTCTGCTGCTCACAAATAAGCTATTTCTGAACATAGCAGTAGACCTCAAAAGCTAGCAACAGGTAAGGACAAGAGTCTAGAACAAGAATGGGTTCACACTGGGCTCTGAGACCTCTGGTACTTTCTTTATTCTTGTTCTATCTCAGTGTCCACTGTACAAAATAGTAATAATACTGTATGATTGGAGATATAAAATATTAGGAGCCTAGCACATCCTAAGTGCTTAGTGTGTGTGGGTCATCATCACTATTATCCTTTTACAGGCCAAAGTTTCTGAATGCCTGAGGGTAGGGAACAGAATACTGGAGCGCACAGTTAAACAACACATGTCATGACTGAGCCTCTAGAAAGCACCTGATGGCCCTTGTGTTTCACGGGGAACTGACCCACTAGCAACCTGGAAGAGACTTCTAACCAGACCAGTCCAGACAGTGCCTCATTCCCACTCTCCATACAGACTATAACTCAAGTCCCACTGACTGGGCCCTCAACTCATCACTCTTAATAGATACAAAGTGAGATATGACCATCAATAATACTGTCAATATTTTACTAAACTCAACACTACAAAGTGTTTTTAAAGATTTGTTAAAGGACAAAATATCAAAAATGAAGGATTAAGAGGCTTCCATTAATTTTGCCCAAGGTTAACATCAATATAAACAGGACTAATTTTTCAAATACTTCGTGTTCTAAAGGGCCCCAAAATAATAACTTGAAACATTAATTTGATGAAAGTAAACAATAAATTAAAACTAATTTATCTACTCAATGCAAAAATTCTTACCTCATTTTCAAAGTTATATTCTTCATCATAGGTCAATTTTTTCATAACGGCTAACATGATTGCCTAAAATTAAGAATAAAATAGCTTTTGTCAAATCAGTCTCCTTTAATCTGATATACGGTTATGCATTGCTTAATGACAGGGATATGCTTTGAGAAATGGACACTTAGGTGATTTCATCCTTGTGTGAATATCATACAGTGTAGTCACACAAACCTAGATGGTATAGCCTACTACACACCTATGCTATATGGTATAGCCTATGGTTCCTAGGCTACAAACACGTACACCATGTTACTGTACTGAATACTGCAGGCAACTGTAATACAGTAAGTTTCTGTGTATCCAACCATATCTAAATAAAGAAAAGGCACAATAAAAATACAGAATTATAATCTTATGGGACCACCACCATATATGTAGTTCACTGTTGACCAAAATGTTATGTGGCGCGTGACTATAATTTGAAATAACGCTACATTTCAAGGCAGACTGCTAATAAAGAAATCTATCATAGGTTTAAAAGATGCATAGAGGGCCGAGCCCGTGGCGCACTCGGGAGAGTGCGAAGCTGGGAACACAGCAGCGCTCCCGCCGCGGGTTCGGATCCTATATAGGGATGACCGGTGCGCTCACAGCGCTCACTGGCTGAGCACGGTGCGGCCGGTCTCAAAAAGGACAAAAAAATAAATAAATAAAATAAAAGATGCATAGAGAAGTCAATTACCTCTACATTGGCTTTTTGCTGATCCGAGAGCACTGTAAGCTGTTAAAAAGTAAGTAACAATTTATTAGGTTTCCAAAAGTTATACTTGCTTATAAGAATATTGCTCCAATCAATCAAGATCTTTTAAAACATGCACATAGCTTTTGGAGGGCAGTTTGACACCTGTCTATAATTAAAATGTAACCTAAAATCTAGCAATTCTGTTTCTAGTAAATAACTAGACATGTAGGTAAATACATATAGATGAATTTGATTGTTAAAAATACCTATAATGTATTCAGTAAAGAAGCAGGTTATTGCAGTGGGTTAGAAATCTTGATTCTCCTTTGATCTAAGAATAGGATTTTTAGGTAATGCATGAATGAGCCAAAAGGCTTGAGTAGGGGACGAAAGTCCATAAATAAGTTTGGCAAAAGCCATCTAATCAATTCTAATCACCGTTTAGGGATGGGATTGTGTACTTTGACTGTTTTAGGTTGCTGGTTTGATTCTTGCTTGAATGACTATTGACTATTCAACCTACTGATTGTTCTTTAGATATGTTAAGAAAACTGCTTGAATGCTGTTTAAATATGCTAAAGAAATTGCTGTAGGATGTATGTAGAAAAGAAATGTTTGCTAAGATCAAGCTTTTGTTGGTGAATCTCTTTAATTGCCTTATGGAATGTCATCTTGCTTGTTTTACTGAATGTTACCAGCCTATATTGTTAAACTATAACCCCACGTATGTTCTGTTCCTGTAACTTCCTGGTCTGGAAAATAAATGCAGGAAGAGAACCCCAATTTGTGGTTAATTTCCCAAATGAAAGGAATGCCTCTCTCTTGAGAGTTCCGGGAGATTCACCACTTCGGGGCTTCTCACTGCTCAGAAGAGTTGGGCTTTGAGTAATCTTTTGTGGCTCCATCACCCAGGGGAAGAGGGGTGACAAATCCATGGGAGGCAAAGCAACAGGTTATAGGACAGTAAAGGATGAAATCATCTTGCTTTTAAATAAAGCGAAACAAGTCTAGAAATCCATTAAGAGATACTTAGCAGGAGGCTGGCATTAGCTCAGTTGGTTAAGAGTGTGGTACTGATAACACCAAGGTCCAGGATTTGATCCCTATACAAGCCAGCCACATACCCACACCCACACAGTGAGATTACCAAGTTATCATATCTTTTCACATTGCCTAAAATTTCTTAAAGTATGCACGCACACATTACATTTATAACAATAAAACAGAAGTTAAACTCATTTTGGAAAAAATTATTTTAAGCTTGGCTTGTTTCATTTAATCCAATGCAAATAAAATAGAGATGTCTCCTCATCTAATATCATAATGAGAAGTTACTAATACTTTAAAATGCTTCATGCTATAATATGGAAACTAATACCACCTACATCTTAAGTTCTTATTGGAAGCAACTGGGAGAAAATCTTAATTGTAAAAAATTGTTTATAAAAAATGATGTATATGTAATTAAAATAATGAACCATGCTTAACAAAATTTCTACTGTCTTTAAAAATAAATACAGGGTCAAGATAAAAAAAATAACCTAAGCCTACAACTAACTCTCAAGCTTGTTAGTCTAGTAAATTTTAGAACCTAGCCACTCCTGTTTTCTGGCTAAGTTTAAAAAAAAAAAAAGAAGAAGAAGAAAATACACTAATATTTAACAGTAAATGTCTTTAGGTAGTAGAACTATGGCTATTTTCTTATTTCCATTTTTCCTGTATTTTCCAATTGTCCATGACTTCATATTATCTATGAGACAAAAAGAAAAAAGGTCTTACCTGTTTCAAAATATGAAGATAATCATAACAAAACCCAATAATGTTAGAGGAGATGTCGTCATCCTCATGAATTAGTAGCTGCAACATGAGTGCCACTTTTGTTTCAATAGCTTGTAGTGACTCTTGAGCATTATTGATATCCCCATTCTTAATTAATTTAGTCCAGCTAACTATCAATGACTGTCCCATTCCATTTACCAGCTTAGAAAATCTGGCAAGGAAGTCAACATCTTCTTCCTATAAGCAATCAAGACAGACCTCAATTTAATACCACTATCTAAGAGTAAGAGGGCAAACTCAAACATTATAATGATTCAAGTGCCAATTGCAGGATTCAATTTTAAACTGACACTAGACATTTAACAATTCTACCATTTTGACTAGAATTTTTAGAATTTGAATTCTGCTACTATTATTGTCCTTAAAGTAACTATTTTTAATGATTATAGTCACACAGACATTACCAGCTTTATGAAAGCTTAAAGAGATGTGATTTCAGAACCTTCTCCTCTCTAAACTGTTGAATTTAGTAAACATGCTCTACCAAAGTTAATGCTACTACATTATAGTATATATAACAATTTATAACTCCTTTCTGATACGATTTGAGCCTCAACTATCCAACAAGGACAGACAACTGCTATTACAATTTCCTACCTCAGGTCATATCAGTGTCAGAGCCAAAACTCAAACAGATTATTTCATTAATTACCTTTATGCTGTTCTATTGATAGAGGCTCTACTTTTGCCATTTTAGGTCTTTTATCAGGGACTAAATAAGCAATTATTAGAAATTTAAGAAAATGCTACTATTAGTCTGTAAGCAAGAAAAATACTAAAGCCATATAAATGACATATTGTCACTACAAAGATTTCTTAGTAATTCTTTGTCACAGCTAATATTAAAATAAAAACCTTTAAATTCTCTTTCAAAACTACTAACTTACCACACTGGGAGCCCCCACTCTCTTGGGGCTAAACTCTAACAGCTCAAATGAGTTAAGATTAAAAAAGTGATGAAAACACACATTTATGATTACTGAGTATAATTTTGGTCAAAATGCATCATCACGTAAATGATATAGGCCCTTGCTACTCAATGTATGGTCTATGGACCAAAACTGTCAGCATCACCTGGGAGTTTGTAAGAAACGTACAACAGCAGGCACCATCCCAGACCTTCAAGTTTAAGAACTGGTATAATCAACTGTCCAAGATAAATGCTACAGGTAACATTAGGGCTCCTGGATACACTGTTCTATTATTATTATTATCTCAAGGAGTTTCCAACATAAGAAAAAGAAAAAGCTATTATTATATATAAGTTACTACCTACCCTAGTTTGTTCTAATAATTTTCAAAACTTTATACATAAATTTGCTGACCTGGTCAATGCTGAAAAACCCAGCAGACTGTAATACTTGACACAAAGATTCTACTAGTTTCATTTTATCAACAGGATCCATTCCTTTATTTACAATTTCAAATAAACAGTCACATGCTTCTTCTCGTAGAACTTCTATTGACATATGACCTAGCAGCATATTTATAAACCTGGTAAAGGGAATAAAATTGGTAGAACAATTTCAAATTCATGGATATTAGATACCATATTTTGCAGGCTTATACTAAAAAAATTACAGGCATACTTACCTATCATTGGCTATAAGAGATAAGTCTATCCAAGAGACATAAGCCCCAACTACTTCAAGGCACTGACATGTAACTTCTGAATTAGTATACTGATAATTTTGTAAGATTTGGTACCATGATTCCACCAGATTTGGAATGCACTGTTCCCTCATGGTATCTTTTATTAGGGTATTCCTACGAGCCTCCTAAAAAACAAAACAGAACACAAAATACTCAACATAGATTACCTCACAAAATGTTTGACATCTGAATAGATGTACATGGTAACGTCCTTGACACTAACCTTCCAGACTTGTTAATGCATTCCCTGCCACTATTTCCTATTTATCAGCTCTAAAATCATATCCTGTGATTCTCTGTATTTCCTCTTTCTGTTCTATTCCTCAGCGCCGGACTTAATTTCTTATTAAATACAAACTATAAATAGGCATTACTTAGAAATCTTAAGCATGTGGTAAGTTATTTCTCAATATTATGTAAACATGACACTTAAACTATTAAGAATATGGCATTTACTTAAATGCACAATAATAATACCCTTTGAGTTACAAATATTTTCAAATACAATGACCTTAAATTATTATACATGCTTGAAGCTATTTCTATTGTGTCCTTTAACAATAAGGAGAACATTTACACAGGTTAATGAAAAAAAAGAGAAAGACTAAAGTGGTGGACTATGTGACTGAGAATACAGAAGAAGCCAGCACTGATAACTCATAAGCAATGCTTCTTTTTTACTCAGGAATTATAAAGCAGTACTAAATACAGACTAAATTTCTCAACAAATCCATAGACCAAAATCAATCTTGTATTTCACTGGAGAAAGTGTTTGCCTAGTTGTAAAAATCTAATGTAATACTCTAATTTCAACCTACATCCAAAAAAAATAAAATCAAGGTCTAGTTCCTTTGTAAAACAAAATAAATTTCTCAACAAATCCATAGACCAAAATCAATCTTGTATTTCACTGGAGAAAGTGTTTGCCTAGTTGTAAAAATCTAATGTAATACTCTAATTTCAACCTACATCCAAAAAAAATAAAATCAAGTTCTAGTTCCTTTGTAAAACAAAATTTATAATGTTGGGTAAGTTTATAATTATTCTCAAGAAAGTCTGTCTCAAAAAAAAAAAAAAGATCTCCCACTCGTTTTATTATGTGCCCATTATCTTCTATACAATCTACATTAAGAACTAAAAATTAATGGGAAGTCACTTGCCTCTGATGTATGCACCACATCACGATCCACCAACTCTGAATCAATAGCCATGAGGATACGGAGATACAGATCTACTCCCCTTGGATTTAGGTCCACTACTGACAGAATGTCAAAAAAAAACTTGGGCCATTTAGTGAGATATTCTGTAACAAAGAGCAAGGCGAAGACTTGGGCTGCTTTATTTCTTATAAAGGTCTTCTCTGGTTGAGGATTCAGCATCTGACAAAGAAATAGTCCATGAAATTAAATGTAAATTTAAAAGACTCAAAAACACATTGTTTTCCTATTATCATTAATAGGCAAAATTCCACCAAAATTCAACATGGTCCAGATTAGCTGTTCAACAAACTTATAATTATCAACATAATTAAGTGACTGGCCACACAGAGAAAAATCAAATGAACAAAGGTTCTAGTGGTTACTTCTCATTCTAATACTTTTAAAGTTTCATGTATAGAGTTTGAATAGTTGCTATGATTTCTCCTAAGAAAAAAATTCAATTATTTTTCTTCTACCTATTGCTTTTTAAGAAAAATAAAACTCTAGCCATACAACTACTTTCTCTGTTCAGATTAGCTAAAATTAAGCAAAAAGAACGTGCTGTGAATAGAGAACTCTAATGACCCCCTGAAACAGGCCCTTGTGAAGAGGCTGTCCAGGAGGACACCCTTAGGAGCCAAACAGAAAAGGAGCTTTTGCCAAGTAGTTAAAAAAAAAAAAAATTAAAACCAAAATTTCCACAGCGTGTCATGGAAAGCATGACAGGTTCAGTTATTGATATAATTTTAAATTATTGCTAAGTTTTCATCTACCCATCTAAAAGTGCCAACACCAGCACTTTTAAAGAAAGCTACAGAATCAAATGGAGGATAAATGATCAAAATCTTTGAGATAAAGTTGCAAATTCTTGCAAAAATAAAAATTTAAACATGTGGATGTGGTAATCTGAGGTACTGAACAAAACTATTTTACCTGAGCTTGAAGCCAAGATATGAGAGTCTCCCTAATTAGTTGTTGTTGAACAGCAGTTAGTTCTGAGTATCTGTTGAAAACAGAGAAAAGAAAAGAATAATGGCTATATTCCGTGTCTGTGGTTTTGAAAAGTAACAGCCTCATTTATTTGAAAGGGAAGATCTGTGTAGTACTCAATTACCTAAAGTTTCCTAAAATAAACTGATAATGCCTCTCATTACTAATTTAAAGAAAAGATAGGAATGGGAGTGGCAGGTAAGGTATCAGTATCAATCTTTGATTTGTGGTTCAGTTCATGTTGAAACAAAGTGACAGCTACACAATTATTCAAATGGAAACATACTCATATTCTGAGGTCTGTAGTCTACAGAATAAATCAACAGGGCAAACTAACAGTCCTCTCAGCAATGATTCATTGTCCTTAATTAAGGCAGGAGTTCTGAACACAAATGCCCATGCTGCCACTCAACTCTAACAGAGATCTGTTATGTAGAAAAATAGTCCTGGTGTTGCTACATCTTTTAATTTTTCCACAGAAGCTTGAAATCTAGATTTTTCTATAAAAATGTCTAGCTTTTTATATGTAACCAACTAAATTTATTTTTAAAACACTTTGGGATAAATCAAAACGTATCTATAATTTGGATGTGACTTATACACTGTCAATTTACAACCTGAATTATGGTTTCCTCAAACAGGGAAAAACTAAATAAAAAATGGCCTCTCCCCACAAATCTGAGTCAAAACAGTAAGAAAGGCCTTACTTGTATTTAACTTGATGTTCCAATACTTGAAAGCAGAAAAACTTTATGTGATCATCACTGAAAATGGAAAAAAAAAAAAAAATGAGATAAGCAGAATATGAATTGGGGAAAACAAATCAAAGGCAAAATATTAATGAATAACACAGTTGAAAAGTTTCTCAAACTCGACCTTTGGCTTGTTTTCTACATACTGATCTCACTTTATAACGTTTGTTTAAAAAGCTAAGAGAACTCTAAATGTTATGCAATATTCAATATTCCCATTAAATTTGGCAGACAAAATAACCAAAAAACTAAGTTGCACCTTAAATATAGTGCTTTGTAAACAGAAAGCATTCCCCCTGAATTCCAGATGTTAGGATTCCTGGCACAATTCCTACATTTAACAATAGAAAGGTTAGGTGTAAAATGACAAATGGTAGAACAGCCAGAGACTGAGTCAAATCAGAGATAGTCATCCAAGTCCTACTTAAAATTCAACTCTAAACAAACAAACAAAAGAGAGAAAAAAAAAAACTTCAACTCTAGTTAGTTCTACTGCAGCCAAATCCAAAACAAGTAGGTCCATGTGGATTATAGGTCCAGCCTCAAAGTTCATGCAGTAAAATGAATACACATATATTGCCCTTATAAGATGGGAGAAAAATTAACATCCATCAATTATCCACTTCTAATTGTCTCTCTAGGAGGATGCAGAGTCTCTGACAAACTCCCTTTAGAGATCAACAACCTGGGCTGGCCTGGTGGCGCACTCACGAATGACAATGAAGCCTTAACTGAATTATATGATTTATTTTTTCCACTAAAAAATAAACTACAGGAAGCTTTAAATAAAAGCCAGCTTTTATTTATTCTAAGACATAGGGTAGGTATTCTCGATACCAACCTTCACTAAACTGAAGCACTCTAAAACACAGACTGATAGATTCGGCACTCCCAGAACTCCAGCCAGGAGGCTGCTACTAACCCCATGTACTTCTGCTCCCACCAGTGAGCTGTTTACTGCTAGTCAGTTGTGTTTTCCCCAAGCCTCAATATACCAGTTGTACTTCTTTTGTAGGAAAGTAACTTAATTAACTATTATATAAACTAGTAAAATAAATACAGTAAGAGAGATCCTACTTCTGTAAAACTTAAGTTGAGTGCTTTAAAAAGACGACTTCATAGAAAGTCACATTGCAGAGGGGAAAAAAACCCTGCACATATTTGATATGGGCTAGATAACCAGAAGACTTGGGAGAGAGGGGCAAACAACTAAAAAAATCTAGGAATCTGCCCCATTGTTCCTCCATCCACTACAGAGATCCAAAGTGGAAATTGCAGAAGATAGATCATGGGTGTGATCAGCATAAAAATGATAAAGTGAATGCTAGTGGCATATACACAAAGATAAGACTTTGGTTTAATATCAAAAGACTGGAAAAATGAATGATTTTATACTTTAAGTTAAACTCAAAAATTAAGATATATATCATTTATGACTGCATCCTTTATCAACTTTAGAAAACCAACTATCACTCCCAATCATAAGAAGACATGGAAGTTTTTACTCTCCTCTATTCCAGCTGGAATTTGCGGTAAGGTACACAACATAATATGGCAAAGGATAGTTCTACTGAAAAGAACTATCTGAAATGGCCAAATTATTAGTTTACTATTTTTCTCATTTCTACACTGAATGACTACATATTAATGGTTTTCCCCAAAAATGTTTTCCCATAAAATGTTTTTACAAAAAAGCTTTCCAGGATCAGGAACCCCCACCCACACCCAGGCACACCACCAGCACCCCGGCGCCCTGCCTGGGAGCCCAGGACATCACCTGGGAGCCTGGGGCATTGAGCTGGGGCCCAGACCACTCCCGCCACTGGCACACTGCCAGCACCAAGGAACATGCCAAAAACATCACATCCATGTGGCTTGCCCACCACAGCCACCACAGTAACCATGGCTGCCGTGAAAGTGGCTAGACGTCACAACCACCATGCAGATGGTCCGCCAGCCACTGTAGTGCATCAACACAAGGAGAGTCACCAGCAGAACCAAAGAAAAGAAGAGGATGTCTCTCCCCAAAAATCCCATTCCAACGTGACAGAAGAAGCATCTGCTCTATGATAATATTGGGGGACCTGAACACAACTTTCAGCGCTGAACAGATCATCTAGGCAACAAATCAACAGAGTAACCATTACTCTTTCAGAGGGAGAGAGAAATCTAGGGTTATCAGTGGCAGGAGGGGGGAGGTAGAGGGTATACGGAGAGATTGGACAAGGGGCATAAACAATAAGTACAATTTGTAACAATATACATGCCACTAATATTGATTTGATCAACATATGTCAACACTGAATCCCCCAAATATGTATAACCAATTATTATTCAATTAAAAAAAAAAACTTCCCCAATACAGGTAAATTTAACAGCTAAGATTATAGTAACTTAAATTCTTCTAAGAGTCATGCAGATTTTGTCTTAATTACCTGTATGTCCTCTGGGCTAGAGCTTCTGCACACACTTGCCAGGCATCTGGGGAAATCTTTAACTGCTCAAAATAGGCTAGTGCCTGTAAGATTGCAAAACAGAAAAACACTTTTGGAATAGTCAATCTCACTGCCCTACTAATACTAAACAAAATATTATGGGAGTAATAAACCAATAACAAATCAGTGAATTTAATAGAAAAATAGCTAAAACATTGAATTCAGGCTTCTGAACATGTGTAGCTTAGAAAAAATATTAAGTAAAAAACAAATCCCATCAGGTACATACACAAATTCTGTTTCTTTAAAGCAAAGGAGACAACACATAAGTGTCCTGCAGACTACACTGGGTTATTATGAGGACTGAAAGAGAAAATGCACAACTGCTTTGTCAAGTGCCAAGCTACTGAAGTATATGCAATTATAAAATGTATACAGAGGGTATTTTTCTTATTTAATAGCAAATCTGCTATTAAAGAGGTGATTATAAAAGACAAAACATACTGGGTACACCATCTGACGAACTGTTACACAGAAAAGGAGAGTATTTTAACTCTTCAATGATATATAAATTCCCCTAAAAAGAGATTAAAATTGGAGTACAAATGCATGATGTAAATTTTGGGAAAGTATCAAATAAGTGAAAAGGTAAAAGCTTTAGGAAACATTTCTCATCTCTCTGTTCATGAATGCAGGGCCTTATAATCAGAAGGTAGACTATATGCTAACAGAGAACATGTACACTCTAGAATGGATGCAGCACCAAATCCATATGCCATCTATCAGACTGTCGGGAAAATGAGAGTTCCACCTGCCACTGATTTCCATAACAGGTTTCACATAACAATAGACAGATAGTAAAGTAATCTCAACAACATATAAAAAAATATCTCAAACAGTCAAGAAAATTACACACAAATTAGAAACAAGGCTAGATGACATTAAAGCAATTATGTACTGAAACAAACCTTGCATATTTATGTATATATGTACAGACACATATATACATAACATATACGTATATTCATAATATACACATATATACATATACACATGATACATGGGGTTGAAAGAAATATATTTATACATATATACATGTATATATATATATATATATATTTATACATATACACATGTGTATGTGCATATATATATTTATACACACACACATATACACACACTGGGTCAAGATATAAAATTATTTTTTCCTTAGGTGATAGTTTCCTGTATTATGCAACTGTATGAATGAGGAAATGGGTTTTTATATGTGGCCTCAATTGCTGCTCATTGATGGAGGACCAGGTAAATAAAAGTGATTACATTATGACCAGCAAATACTATTTAAGTATAAATGTGGTATAATGAAAAATACATTTGGTCTTTGCTACAGTTCCTGGCACAGAGCTCCAAAAACCCTTGGAATTTCCTGAGTGATAGAACTGGTTTTTGTTATTTATGAGTACCTTTGGATCACACCAGAGTTTATGCTAATAAGGTGACTTGGGTGGGGCCCCTAGACAGCCTCAGGATAGGGATGGTCACCAGAAAGACCAAGTGATTATAGGGTTGGAACTTTAAGCCCCAGTCACCAACCTCTGGAAAGGGAAGGAGAAACTGGTGATTAAAATTTGTAAAAACTAGGGCTGGCCCATGGCTCACTTGGAAGGTGTGGTGCTGATGGCACCAAGGCCATGGGTTCCGGTCCCTATATAGGGATGGCCAGTTGGCTCACTTGGGAGAGCATGGTGCTGACAGCACTAAGTCAGCGGTTGAGATCTCCTTATGGGTCATCTTTAAAAAATAAAATAAAATTTGTAAAAACTCTTGAACTTTAGGATGGTGAACACACTGAGGTGCTGGGAGAGTGGTACGCCCGCAGAGGTCATGAAAGCTTTGTGCGCCCCTTCCCACATGCATCCCTTCCATTTGGCTGTTGCTGAGTTGTATTCTTTATAATAAATCGGTAATAGTAAGTGAACTGTTTTCCTGAGTTCTGTGAGCCATTCTAGCAAATTACTGAACCCAAGGAATCAGACAAATGGGAACCCTCCGGTTTATATCCAGTCATACAGAAGGTTCTGGACTTGAGATTAGCATCTAAAACAGGGGCTCAGTCTCCATTGTGGGATCTGAGGCTAACTCATGGTAATGTCAGAGATGAACTGAACTGCAGGACACCCAGTTGGTATCCATAAAATCAGAGAATTGGTTGTTGGTGTAGGAAAACAACCTACCTAGAGTAAATAATGGCTCTTAAGAGTCCAGGCAGCTGTACATGACTCTAACTCACTTGTTTTCTAACAGAGGTCCTTGAAACCTAGGGTTTCCTTTAGGAATACCTTAGGGGACAAGGTGGGGGACAAGGCAGAAGTCAATTATGCATGTTGTGTTACCACCTAATATTTGACTTACAAAAAAGAGCAGAGGGATGTTTCAGCTGCTAAAATTGCCACTGACATGTCATTTTCTTTAAATAATAGCAGGTTTTAAGCCAAAGATGGGTATTCTATTTTAAAAAAGGGGGCAGGGAATGGGAATAATCTGAAAGTTTTCATTTTTTTTTAAAAAGATGACCGGTAAGGGGATCTTAATCCTTGACTTGGTGTTGTCAGCACCACGCTCAGCCAGCGAGCGAACCGGCCATCCCTATATGGGATCCGAACCCGGGGCCTTGGTGTTATCAGCACCACACTCTCTTGGGTGAGCCATGGGCCGGCCCTGAAAGTTTTCATTTTTAACTGAAGTCTTTGTATTCTGAATCCTGGTATTACTAGCATTTAAAAAGAAAAATTCTGTGGCAATGATGAACAAATTCTAGCTTTCCTCACTTGGTTCTTCCATCTGGTACCCTTTTTCTAATGCTTTACTGCCTCTAAGTGGCAACGGTTTAGTTTCATTTACTGTCCATGTGGAAAACAGAACTACAGATAGACAACTCAGTAGGTGGGTTTATTTTGCCACCAAACTGAATTACATTCCCACTACTTCTGAAATGCAACATCAGAACTATCAGAATTTACTTTCCCTTAAGATTCCTTCTTTTTCATCCTAATTTTAAATTCTGTTACTCAGGTTGACTTACTGGGATATCAAATTAAGCCTAGACCTGGATGCCCAGAATGGCTATGACTGACAGAACCCATTTTTTTTTGACAAAATAAAATGTACAACTTTTGTATTAAAACCATTAACAATGTATTGGTTTTACTTTTCTAAAAAAACCATTAAGGCACATTTTTAAAAACCTGCCAGATGCTGGAATTTTAAAAAAAACCAAAAGACTTCAAAAAAGGCACATAAAAATAACAGGAAATGCCACTGAATAAACAAATAAACAAATGGTCAAACAAGGCCACTGAATAACTAAAGAGTCAAATTTTAGTTATAATAAGCATTCAATACCAAGCTACTGATGCTTCAACTATGTTTGAAGGTAGGTAGTACCCTGAAACACCCCTTTTTTGTAAGTGAAATATTAGGTGGCAACACAACATGCACAATATTTGAAAAGAAATACTTGTTTACACACAGAAGACATGGACACTTAATGTTTTTTGATATCCTAACTAATTTACTAGGTATTTTGTAATTAGCCAGATACTTAAATCTCAATTCCTGTTATTGTCCTATTTCTGGAGGGCTAGTTACCTATTTAATAGCAAAGGTATGCACATGGCACTACTATGTTAGAAAATACTTGGGATTTAAAAAAAAAGATGACCAGTAAGGGGATCTTAACCCTTGACTTAGTGTTGTCAGCACCATGCTCTCCCAAGTGAGCTAACCGGCCATCCCTAGATAGGGATCTGAGCCCATGGCCTTTTGTCAGCACCATGCTCTCCCAAGTGAGCTAACCGGCCATCCCTATATAGGGATCTGAGCCCATGGCCTCGGTGTTACCAGCACCACACTCTCCCAAGTGAGACAAGGGCCGGCCCTCTTGGGATTCGTTTTTTATTACTTTAAAAAATTTCTGCTTAAAAGCAGAACAAAAACTGCTATAATATTTAGTGAGATTGTTAACCTTGTATTGCTCATTTATAAAAAGTATTCTTTGCTGTGAGAAGTAAAGAAAGAGAATATGCCTCTCCTTCTACTTACCCTATACTTCAGAACGCCCACATCTTTAAAAAATGAATTATAGGCTTATTCTTTAGATTCTTCTTTTATTATTCAGCCATAGTCATGATTATAGTTGTAGGCTACACTATGTTTAATTGTTTACATTTATCCAAATATCCCAGCTCTTCATAACTGATTCCTTCTCAAGTTGTCATTTTAAATAACCTAAGACATAGCATATCTTAACCGCTTTACATGTCTGCCTGGACTAAACAACAAGGATGCAAAATATCACTAACTCAAGCATTAAACAACTTGTATAGTTCAAGCCATGCAATCAGAAAATAAAGCATGCATATCTGCTACTATGAAAAGTTCTTTGAACAATCTTCTGTATTACAACATTTATTTATTTATTTATTTATTTATTTTGTCTTTTTTTTTTTTTTCGTGTCCGGCAACGGATCGCAACCCTCAGTGTTGTGCCCGTACCGGATCGGGACCGGCAACGGGATCGCAACCCTCAGTGCCGCATCCGCACCTCGCTCAGCCAGTGAGTGGGAACCGGTCTGCACGTGGGATCAGAACCCTCGGCGGGAGCACCACCGCGCTCCCAAGTGGCGCACTGTATAAGTGCGCCACCGGGCGGCCCATGTATTACAACATTTAAATAATTAGAAATAATGACTGATGTTGCATAAATACCTGCCTGGAATCACGTGAGATTTTAATACTTTTGTTCAGCCAACTAAATAAAAAATAAATCACAACACTGTTTCTGTATCCAGAATATATTCAGATACCTCAAATTTGCTTGTCTCTATTCATTTCTATCCAAATTAGACCTTTATCATGAAATGTATTTTTTATTCAAGTCCTCTAATGCAAATCTGTGGTAACATGCTTTTAAAAAAACGACTAAGCAGACCAACTTACCCTTTGTCTAAAGTCTGAATCAGCATTTGGATTTAGCCCTAAAAGAGCCTGTTCATCCATCCCTGCTGCTATACTTGGAGTTTTCTGATCACAATAGGCGTGCCCTCTGATCCCACAGAAGAATCCACGAACATCTGCACACAAAAAACAAAGTTGAAAGAAAACAATACTTGATAAACAAAATAGACGCTTATCCAGAATATCGTAACAAGTGAATAAAATTATGCAAAGAAGTTTAAGTGTTTAAAGAATGTATTTTGAAACTTACCCAAATTACAACTAAAGGAGCCTAAGTCTCAGAAGACTGAACCCTGCTAAATACTCCACTAATGTGAAATTTCTAAAAATCTATAAAGTATGCCATGCCATTAAGGTTCTCAAGTTTTCTTTTTTTTTTTTAAAAGATGACCGGTAAGGGGATCCTAACCCTTGACTTGGGGTTGTCAGTACCCCGCTCAGCCAGTGAGCGAACCGGCCATCCCTATATGGGATCCGAACCCGGGGCGTTGGTGTTATCAGCACTGCACTCTCCCGAGTGAGCCTCGGGCCGGCCCCTCAAGTTTTCTTATTCTTCAAGATCTTCAATAAAGTACAGAAAGTATTTTCTACTATAAATAATAGAAGTGTCTAATTCATGCAGTGTTGCTTATTATCTCCCGTACTTAAAAATACAATTGTGCAACTATATATTAAGCAAAAACAAATCCAGATTATTTATTATAGTAATTATAACAATTTGTCTACTTCCAGATTCCAATATCACAAACCTTTTAAAAAAAATTTAGAATGGCTGACCTCAGAGTTTAATATCTTATGGGAGTGTTTACAAAGTACTGCAAGAGAAGTCGAATGAAAGAGGAAGGAGGAGGGGGTAGGAATGAAAAAACAGTCATTTAGCTTTTGAACAATGGAATAGTTGTGCCTTTTATAGATCTCCACTTTTGCCAGCTAATTCTAGAAATGTACTTCAAATAATTTTTTTAAATAGTAGACACAAAAATTCACAAATGACTTAATGCTGACTATTCTTATTTAAGAACATTTAAAAAAATTTCTGGAAAGTAAGCCACTTCTTTACAATACAGGGTCTAACATTCTCAGATAAGAACATGAAAAGCCCCAAAAGGTGGTTTAGTTTTTGACAGAATATATATTTATTCTATTATATATATATTCTAATATATATTTATATTTATTTGAGCAAACACTGAACAAACTCTTAAATGATGTGGAAATCACATTTATTCTCTCGAGACCCATGAGGTAGGGAGACCAGGCTTTACTACTCCCATTACAAGGCTGTAAGGTTTTTTGTTTTTTAAATTATCATAACCAAAGATTTCCTAAAGAGCCCAAAGAGACTAATTGGGTGGGGAGTCAGGGGGGAGCACAGCCTTTTAGGAATGGCAAGGCCAGGATCACATCCAGGTTACAGGACCCATACTACAATGTACTTTTTCTGTCTGTCTTCCCCTGGGCCTGCTGGAATCGAGCCGACAGCATTGGAGAAGAAAGCTCAGCCCCATCTTACAGCTCATATCATACTTGCAGACTACAGCAAGGCAGTGTAACTCCCCACTTTCCTCAGGATTGAGATCTAAACACTTTTGAATGTTAATGCCTCACCATTCTGCACCCCAACTCATCTAGGCCACTGATGCTGAACCACATGGCAGTTCTCCAGTGGTATTCTACCTTTCATCTTTGCACACACTGCTTTTTCTTGTTACTTGGTTAACCCCTGCCTTTCCTTCAAAATTTCAATTAGAGATCACCTTTTTCAAGAACACATTGTTCAACCTTCCCAAATTGAACTAAATGCCCCTATACTAAGAACTGCTATGCTGTCACTGTCAGCTTCCTAGTTTTCAGGCAAGGACCGTCTTGAATATGTGTTACTATGTACCTAGGACATAGTAAAACATAGGTTTTGTATTTGTAAAGACCCAGGTTTGCATTCCAATCTTGCCATTTTTTAACTGGGGCCATGTGGACAACATACAAAGCCTGAGAGACCTTTCCATGAAACAGAAAAAAGACCTCATAAAGTTGTAAAGACTTCATTGAGACATGCAAAGTATGTCCGCACATAGTGGGCCGTCGATAGGTTACCTATAATTCAGAGGTAGGCACACAGAGGATGGGAACTACCTGGAGCATTCTTACATCATACTAGTAGATTAGCATTTTTTTCCCCCCAAGAACTCTTTATTTCTCTCGAACAGATCAGAAAACACGAAAAAATTGGCCAAAAATTGATTGGCCAAAAATGATAAAATCTGATGACCATTCTCCTGAAAAATGCTCACACAGAGAGAAAAGACAATTTCAAAGTTTCTATGAATCCCAAATTGAGAAAACCTATAAAAGCTTCCTTGAATTTGCCATGGCTTTAGGGAAAATTGCTTAACCTTGATCAAGTCACTCTGATCCTATAAAGAGAAAAAACAAGCGCTCCTAAGTAAAAACATTGCCAATAAACAACCAAAGGAAACAAACTTGTTACAGTTATCAGTACAGAAAAAATCCCCCAGAGGAGGCTTTTGGATAACCAATAAACAATGGAACATGGTAAATGACCAGCGTGTGTGCAAACAACTAAGAAGTTACACTTACGTGTAACTTTCCCAGGAAAAGGCTGTGCGGGAACACATATTCCAACACGATTTAGCTGTGCAGGCTTAATCATTTGTTACAAATGCGGTAAACACTTACGCATCTTGAAAAGGCTCTGGGGAAGGCTAGCAACATACTTAAAACATTAAGCCCTAACTTTTCCTTAATAGCCATTACGTCAAAATTCAAGCAGTATGGAAACATTCCTCCACACTTTACTGAAGACTGTTTCAAAGAATAGGACTTAATTTTTCCAGCCTTTTACCACCACGCTGACAAGTCGCTTTAATAAAACGTAACTTCCCCCAGTAATTAATTAGCGCTTTCAAAAAGTACTCGTTTTTCTGGTTACGGGGAATATCACTTTTCTCTACTCTTGCAGGACTGCGAGGAAGGGAAGAGAAGAAATGGAGTGTTCGTACTGGCAAATTATTACACAGAAATAACACTTTTTCCCTTTTTGTCCCGGGGTGAGGGCGGGGGCGAATCAAGTTGGAGATCTCTACAGCTGAAACTGGTGGGACCCACCACGACTATTATGAGTAGTATTGGGGGGCTACATGCAATGCTGCCCCTCCTCGGCCGGCCTCACCCCAGTCCTTCCCCAGATCCCTCCCCTAAAGGAAGCCTCGTGGCAATTCGGGTGATGAAACACAAGGCAACGGGACGCCACGCACTCAGGACGCGCTCGCCGCAGCTCGTACCCACCCCCACCCAGTCCGCCCAGCACCGGGGCGCACCGCCATGGAGAGTCCCGGGCCCGCACCCCTCCCCAGCAACGGGGCTGCCCGTGCCGGTCCGCCCTGGCCAACTTCC